CCCAGCAGGAGCTACAGAGACATCTGCAGATTCCTCCTCTTTGTATGGGGTTTGGAAGTGCCCAGACGAGTCCAAGCTGTAAAGCAAGGCTGGCAGAGCCTTGGGCCTTCTTTTGGAAGCTCTGGGGCTCTCTGACCCAGCTGGAGTTTGACAGGTTTTAGGCAGAGTAAGGACAGGCCATTCATATGCAAAAGCCAATGCGCACAGCTTGGGTGGGGTTGTAAATTGGGTGGGGCAGGGTCTATGGGAATCACCAGGGCAGAGGAAACAGCAATGGCAGACAGTCAGCCCTGCACCGGAGAGGTCCCTGAGTCTCCGTGTCCCGCGCCCCCGTGCAGGAACAACGATTGCTTTGAGCACCTCTGAGAGAAAGCCGCCCTTGTGTTCCTGTCCCGATGCCAGACAGTCCAGTTTCTCCCTGAGTCCCCCAGAGTCTCACCCGGAACTGGAGTTCAGAGCAAGTGGGAGCTTGTATCTCCCTCCTGATTAAAAAAGCAGCACATCCAGGTGCCAGCACTTTCCGCACCTCCCCACCTCTTACCAGTCTCAGTGCGCTTTCTTCACCTCTAGTTGTGGAACTTCCACTCAGCCAGCCTTCCTGTGGTTCTGGGTGGTAGTTGTTCTGCCTTTTAGTTGTTATTTTGATGTGGTTGTGAGAGGCAGCAAGTATAGGTGCTTACCTGTGCCGCCATCTTGGTTCTCTCCATAAGTGGTCATTTTAATTGTTTCGAATATATGAGCTGGATCCCTACGCAGGAAACCTGCGCCTCCTTGCCTACCTCCCATTTAAGCAGGGCACAGGCTCTACAGCCTCAGCAGTGGGCCCAGGTGGCCACGTGGATTTCAGTTTCTAAACAGTCACAGGGACCAATAATTCTCTCATTTCATGCAAGCAGAGGAGACTTCTCTGCAGGGGTGGGGGGCCTGGAAAGGTCTGTCCCATTAATACAGACAGCTCCCACCATCGGTGCAGACAGCTCCCACCATTGGTGCAGACAGACAACTTCCACTATTGGTGCAGACAGCTCCCACCATTGGTGCAGACAGCTCCCACCATCGGTGCAGACAGCTCCCACCATTGGTGCAGACAGCTCCCACCATCGGTGCAGACAGCTCCCACCATTGGTGCAGACAGCTCCCACCATCGGTGCAGACAGCTCCCACCATTGGTGCAGACAGCTCCCACCATCGGTGCAGACAGACAGCTCCCACCATCGGGGCAGACAGCTCCCACCATTGGTGCAGACAGCTCCCACCATCGGTGCAGACAGACAGCTCCCACCATCGGGGCAGACAGCTCCCACCATTGGTGCAGACAGCTCCCACCATCGGTGCAGACAGACAGCTCCCACCATCGGGGCAGACAGCTCCCACCATTGGTGCAGACAGCTCCCACCATCGGTGCAGACAGACAGCTCCCACCATCGGGGCAGACAGCTCCCACCATTGGTGCAGACAGCTCCCACCATCGGTGCAGACAGACAGCTCCCACCATCGGGGCAGACAGCTCCCACCATTGGTGCAGACAGCTCCCACCATCGGTGCAGACAGACAGCTCCCACCATCGGGGCAGACAGCTCCCACCATTGGTGCAGACAGCTCCCACCATCGGTGCAGACAGACAGCTCCCACCATCGGGGCAGACAGCTCCCACCATTGGTGCAGACAGCTCCCACCATCGGGGCAGACAGCTCCCACCATTGGTGCAGACAGCTCCCACCATCGGGGCAGACAGCTCCCACCATTGGTGCAGACAGCTCCCACCATCGGGGCAGACAGCTCCCACCATTGGTGCAGACAGCTCCCACCATCGGGGCAGACAGCTCCCACCATTGGTGCAGACAGCTCCCACCATCGGGGCAGACAGCTCCCACCATTGGTGCAGACAGCTCCCACCATCGGGGCAGACAGCTCCCACCATTGGTGCAGACAGCTCCCCAGGGCTCCTGCTCCGCAGGGCTGCACGGCATGGCTCAGGGCCCTGTTGTTAGCAGCTGGGAGAGTCTGTGGTGAGCGCCTTCACTGATAGGTCCTTCTCTTTCCATGGGGCTCCCGGAAACCCTCAGTGAGGGAGGGGCAGAGGGAGCATGCCTGCGGGTGGGCGTACAAGGCTATGGAGCACCCCCTGCAGGGTGGTGGGTGGTGAAGACATTGCCACATACCCTTGCCCCAGAGCTCACGATGACACAGTACGACCATGCAGGGGAGGAGAGCTCCCCCAGCAATGGGCTGTGACACCAGGGCCCTTCTCCGGTGTGCAGCCCAGCTAAGCCGTTTGCTCTTCCCACTCAGAGCACTGGCCATTGGTATATTCACAGACTGACCTGGGGAAGGGAGTAAAAGAGTCAAACCAGTCCACCTGCTTCCGGTCATTTCCATTAGGAAGACCTGGTAAGACTCTGAAGCCATTGGCAAAAATAACGCTTGTCGCTTGCAATCAGAGACCCTGTTCCTGGATCCAGGAGAGTCACTATCAGGAGTTTCCTCAGGGAACACTCATGTTTCTCAAACTGAGATCCACGAAACCTAGGGCTGGGCAGGTATCTCCCCCTGCATTTGAGACATCACCAGAATTTCCTTTTATTTTGTATTTTCATTCCCATGATAACCGTCAAGATTAATATAAGAATATTCGGGGTCATCTGGATGACCACCGGGGCATCATGTGCAGCATGCAGTTTTAGTGCCAAGATTTTTAGTTGGGTTTCCAACATTATGGGCACCACATTCTTAAAAAATTAGGTAGAAAAGGACATCATCTAATCATAAAGACTAGATGCCTTTGCCCCACCTGAAGCAAATTACTGTCACATTTATACACAAGGATGTACCAGTAAGGGTTTGCTTGAATAGAAGAAATTAGTGGGAGAACTGAGTCTCTGGCACTGAGGAGAAATGCCGACCTCAAGATTCTGAGGGACCACGGTGGCCAGTCTGGCTTCACACTGAGAGCAGAGACTTCGTGTCAGCAAAACTTTATCCATCACAGTAAATTAACACTATTGGCTTTTCCTGTGTTTGTTAGTAATCTCCCCAGTTTAATTGGGGTTTGCAGTTCAATAAAAAGTATAACATTGCACTCGCCAGTTTGGCTCAATGGATAGAGCATCAGCCTGTGGACTGAAGGGACCCGGGCTTGATTCCTGGTCAAGAGCATGTACCTCAGTTGCAGGCTAGATCCCAGCCCTGGTTGGTCGTGTGCAGGAGGCAACCAATCAATACGTCTCTCTCACATCAATGTTTCTCTCTCTGTCTGTCCCCCTCCCTTGCACTCTCTCTCTCTAAAAATCAATGGAAAAATACCCTCAGGTGAGGATTAACAAGAAATAAAAAGTATAGCATGGGAGTCTATATTTTATTTTTGTACATATTTGGGTAACAAACTTAATTTGAGTCAACACTAGCGGAATACACAAGAAAATTCTTCTTTTGAAATTCTTATTCCAACATGAGAAAGTCTGCTCAGATATGAGGTGTCCCTGTCACTCCGATGGCCAGTGGTCAAGCCAGGACATAGCTTTCCTGATGCCAATACTATTTTTGTAGCACAGCGGGGGGTGTATGACTGTTCAAAACAATGTTCCTGACATCACACCGTGAGCACATGGAGTCCCAGAGGTGGGCCCAGCACGTGTTCAGTGTTTACCATCTCTGCTCTCACTCGCTGAGACTCTCTGAGCCTGGCCGGTATTCATTCTTTCGTGGTCTTTTAACACTGCTAATCATGTAGATTATAATTCATGTGTGCCCTTTTTTCTTGGAGGAATTAACAGTGTTTTCCAACCTGTCTTACTTGACATTTCAAAATATTATTTTCTAACCTGGTAAACTGAGGCACAGAGCAATTAGTAGATATACACGTGGCAACAGAACAATGACTAGAACCTAGAACTTTTGGGTTTATTTAAAACACCCACCAACTGTGCATCGATTCTCGGCCTTTTGGCTAAGATCAAGTGTAAAACACCCACCAACTGTAATAACTATCAACCAAGTTGGTATGGAATTCATGGACAATGTGATGTATACTTGGACTGGTTATAGGAGAAGCGGAAAGTAATTCATACGCTTGTATGTTCTTGCTGATTTTTTCTGATAGATGTTTCTCTCTCTGTCTGTCTGACAGAAAAAATCAGCAAGAACATGAAAGCGTATGAATTACTTTAAGGGTCCCTGAAGGCTTCCCTTTCTGAGGAAGAAGTGATGGGGAAGCTGAGGAAAGCTCACAGGCCTGTGTGCACCCTAGGGATACACTGGTTTCCTCACGGGACAATGTGTTTGGCTTCCCGGTTGCTAGGTCTCTGCGCCTCCATCATCGCAGGATGAGGACTGAGACAGGCTCCGGAGAGGACTGTCAGTGCAGGTGGCAGCATTTCTGCCTTTTATGTTTCAAACTGGGCCAACTGCCAAATTTAAGAAGCTATGGTTCCAAGGGTCACATGGGGCAACCCAGTCGAAGGCCACTGGCAGTTCAGTAGAGCCAGACACAGCACAGGTGCAGGCATCAGTGCGGATGCGGGCCGGCCGTGCAGGCAGAGAGCAGGTGCGCATGCACCTCGGGGCATAACCCTCAAGAGTGCACCAATGGTGGGTTCGACTATGGAAGACGTCCACCTTCTAAACATACTTTACAGTGAAACATAAAGCAATGCTGGGCTGATGCATGTGTGATGCCCCCTGGTGGCTGCAGGAGCTGGCGGGGGGACGGGGGGGGGGGGGGCGGGTTCCCCTGTAGGAAGACACTCTGCCATGATCACACGCCCTTTGGAGACACAAAGACTGGAGCCAGCAGTGGAAAGCACTCCCTCGCTTCAGCTGTCCATGTGCCAACAGCAGTTCAGCAGTCAGGCTGCCCCCTTTGGAGACACAGAGACTGGAGCCAGCAGTGGAAAGCACTCCCTCACTTCAGCTGTCCATGTGCCAACAGCAGTTCAGCAGTCGGAAGACACTCTGCCATGATCACACGCCCTTTGGAGACACAAAGACTGGAGCCAGCAGTGGAAAGCACTCCCTCGCTTCAGCTGTCCATGTGCCAACAGCAGTTCAGCAGTCAGGCTGCCCAGGGGGAAGGGGCTGGGAGGCCAGGGCTGTACGGTGAACATGGGCATGGGAAGAACTCCCTGCCTTGGGACAGGAGTAATATAGCCACCAATTACTCAGGCGACCTTGGGCTAGTAAATTTTATTTAAAATCTGAGCATTGCCTACTGATAATTGGACAAAATAATACAAAACAACAAATATAGCAAAGATACCACTATAAGCCAACATTCTTTTATTATAAAAAAAATTTAACAGCAAAAGGACATCTTCCCAGGATATTGAACAATTTAATTGATTAAACTTAGCTCCAAGAAAAACTCACTCTTTTGTCCTAATTTTTAGATGTTTCCCTGGGTTGATAACTTTAAGCAGACCAATGAAAAGTAAGTGAGAACATTTGGGGAGCCTTTCTCCGCTCACTGCTGGCGGGGCTGTGTGTGTTTTCTACCGGCTCCCTCTGCACCTCCTCCCTCGTGGCCCATTCCTGTCTGGGCTTCTTCAAAGGGCTGGACGGTCCGCGGTGAACGGTGAGTGTGCAGGCGTGGCCCTGCATCCCGCCCTCCTGACACTGAGAGTGACCGCTAACACAGGAGCGTCACATTCCTGACCACCCGTGGGGAGCAAACCCCGTGTTATTGCACCTTCTTCATAAAATAAGTGACGCAAAAACAGAACATTCCCATTTTATCCTGTCTCCCTCTTGGTCTCTGCAACTCCTTCCCTGTTGGCTAAACAAACCATTAAGAGACTACAGTGTTAGATTTGGAGAGAAAAATGCCAATTTCAAATATTTATGAACAAACTAGACTAAGTAAATTCACAGCCTTCGAGTAGACTTATATTTAAAAACAGGGGACCTGGTGGAGGCCCAGTGGAGAAACAGGAACCGAGCAGGGCAGACAGTCGGGAGGCTGACACGTGGCGACGCTCATTACCTCTTACTGGTAAGAAAACCAGTGCCTCAGGGGTTGTCAGCGGTGCTTGGCTAACGAAGTGAAAGTTTAAGCTTTCTTGATAGCACCCCAAGAAGCGCACCTCAGAAGTAGGGCCCCTTCCCAAGCACTCACAGCAAGATGAAGAGAAAACAACGCCAAGGGCACTTACCGGGTCACCCCCAGAGGCGAAGGAGATGGACTGCATGTGGTGATTCGCTATGATCTGTCAGGCCCAAGACAAGAAACGAGACGTGCCATTAGTGCTCTTCCCATGTCTTGGAAAGCCAACCGTTGACAGGCAGTACGAATCAACAAGGCTCCCCAAAACTCGGTAACACTGGTCCCCAATGAAAACAACTACTAGAAAAGTAATAGCGCAGCATGTCCGCTGCTCACCTAGCAGCTTTGCCAAAATGAGCTCTTAAAAGCTCCACGGTAGCCCTGCAATGTAGGAGCTATTGGAGCCCATTTCACAGGTGGGAGCCTGCGGCCCAGAGGGGCCAAGTGGTTTCTCAAAGTACCACAGCCAGTAATTGTCAGGGCCGTGGCCGAACACAGAGGGTCTGAACGCCCACGCCTCTTCGAGAAGGAAAATGTCCCACCCACACCCCAAAGCATTCAGCTGTGCAGTGTCAGTTCCCAAGGACACGCGGGGTCCTCAATCTAGACTCGGAGCTGGAGTGGAGGGGAGTGTGTCTGCCCCCATTCAGCCCGTTTACACCATGTGCGCATACATTGCAAAGTCCTCATCCAAGATCAAAACTGGCGCCCTTTCAGGCACTCTTGTAATTTATCAATTTAAGAGCCAGCAAAGACATTCCAAGTTCATCTTTAAATGGGAAATTTCCATTAGCATTATAGACTGCAGGGTACAGTGGAATTTAGCAGACGCTGAGTAAATTAGAAGCTGCACTAAATTTAAAAAGCTATATAAGTCTTCCACGCTACTTTTATCTTTTTAAAGACAATGTAATGACATTGAAGTAAATTTCTGGGAGTGGGAACAGTCCTCCCTCCCATCATAATCAGGTTTATTTCTGCTGGGCCCCCTCAGGCCCTGGCGGGTGGGCAGTCAGAGTTTACAGAGCTGTCATCCTACCGTCCGAGGGATTTTTCCAACCATGCTCCTGTAAAACCGAAGCAAAACCATAAATGAAGTGTAAGATAAAATAATTTTAAATGCCTACTTCAGTTTTGAGGACATGCAATACTACTCAGGATCTAGAAAAACCGGAGCATATAGTGCTTACGTTTGAGGGAGAGTCAAAAGTTAACCACGGATTTTTGACTGCACAGGGGCGGCTCCCCTAACCCAGGCATTGTTCAAAGGTAAACTGTAAACGAATAAAAACATGAGTCCAGCTCTGTAGCCTGTGCCCAAGCCCAGGGGGATCAAACTACTAGTTGGCTTTTGCAGCTCTCCGGAATCCTGCCTCGAGTCCAGGGGTGGAGGGCTCCGGGGAGCAATGAGGACACAGTAGCTCCCAAATGATGATAAAGCTACAACTTCTAAAATTACGTTTTGCTTAATTAACTTTTGCTTATTTAATTTTTACTAACTTAATCTTCTTAACAAAGCAGTGCTAAAACTGGGGTTTGGAAATCAAAGTGGACACTAAGATTGAGGGGGAAAATGGAAATCATATTTGGTCAGCACGATGCATAACCATTACTGTGTGAGTGTATGCTATCCCGTTGGCTAAGAGAATTGAAGAGGAGAGCTAACTAACTGAAAGCATTGTTTGCTCTAAGGCTGTTTCATCTTTTTCTTCTCCTTGAGAGCTCTGCAGGGGGCGCGGGCACTGCCTCCTGCTCTCTCTGCACTGGGAGGGAGTGTCCTCTCGGCTTGCTCTCAGTTTGCTACAGCTGGGCCCTGAACTTGGCCAGAGGGATGCAAGCTTCGGCTCCCATCAGACCTTCCTCAGCTCATGCTCTGATGTCCGTGCCGGCATCCCTCAGGACTCACTCCCACCCACCTAAACCAAGGGCAGGCCAATGAGAGCTGGCACACCCAACCAGCCCCTCTACCAGGATGGAGAGGGCCAACCATGACGGCCTCATGCTTTCTGCTCTGAGTTTGCTTCTCTGTATTGTGAGGTGGGGAATTAAGTAAAAGGAGAATTAGGAGGTGAGATCCTGCAGAATTGAGGCCCATGGTTCCTAGAAACGAAGGTGCGACAGCCACATAGGATAAGAGTGGATGTGGGCATCTGAGAGCAGAGCTGAGGGGACCAACCCTCATTAGCCACAATGGGTGCTCAGCCTGGAGGCAGCTCCAGAAAGAGTCTGAGCCTGTTCAAACTACTTAATCCACTTAAATGAAGGTTCACCATCCCTCAGAAGTGCCTATGAGAAAAGAAAAGGCTCATCCAGCACTCAAGGAATAGAGTGAGAAGCGGCATCCACTGTGTCAAAACAATGCCCAGACATTGCCTCTCGCTTCTATTCTGGATCTAGAATTTATTTCAACACCTCGGGTCGGGTATGTAGGGTGGAGAAAAATATGGAGCTGGAAATGCTGCTTGCTTACCTGGGGAATTTGAAAATTCATACGTAAGAATATGTGTAGCGACCTAAAGGTGCCCTGGGCATCCTGGTGCCACGCTGCCATGGTCCCCATAGTCTGGGGGCGGCCCATCTTCTGCAGTGTGGAGACACCTGGTTTCCAGCTCACACTGACAGCACGGCGGGGCCCAGGCTGAGCACAGCAGGTGAGGGGACTCATGGTTCACAGCATTTCCACCTGCTGGTATCCAGGGCGGCTACTCGTATACACATTTGAGCCATGATGTTAAACAGTTCCCTCTAATTTTTTTTCTGCAAACATCCCTAGGGAAGAGGCATTTTCCCTTGGCAAGCTCTAAATCAGGTCAAATACAGACAGCCTTGATGTTAGTATAGGTGGCTAGTCCTATATAATAAAAGCCTAATATGCTAAATGTCTAACCGTTCGACCATTCAACCAGTCTCTATGACGTGCACTGACCACCAGGGGGCAGGTGCTCTGACCGGTAGGTTAGCTTGCTGCTGGGGTCCTGCTGATGGGGACTTGGCCTGGAGCCCTCCCACAGTCCCTCCCCAGCCCTGATCGTGCACCAGTGGGGTCCCTCAGCCTGGCCTGCGCTCTCTTGCAATCCGGGATGTTGGAGAGCTGGTTTAGGCCCGATCTCCCTAGGCCAGGCTGAGGGACCCCGCTCACTCTGCAGACGCCAGGGAGGGACTGTAGGAGGTTGGCTCCAGGGCATGTCTGGCCTGCCTCACCCAGTCTTGCCCTGCCAGCCACCTTCTAATTTCCTTTCAATGTGCACGATGTAGGCTGAGGGACCCCACCTGCCAGAGGGACCCCGCTCACTCTGCAGACGCCAGGGAGGGACTGTAGGAGGTTGGCTCCAGGGCATGTCTGGCCTGCCTCACCCAGTCTTGCCCTGCCAGCCACCTTCTAATTTCCTTTCAATGTGCACGATGAGCACAAAACCATGCACCGGGTCACTAGTTAGTATTAATAAAGGAAGGAAGCAAAGGAAATAAGGTATTAAGCCTCATCAACAGGGAGCTGAGTCAGACATTAAACCTCACTTACTAGGACAATGTAACGTTCCCAGCTCCCCAGGGGACTTAACCCCCTGAAGCAGGCTTCCCCACCCGCCAACAGACAGCCATTATCCAGGATTGAAGAGAGAAAACAGTAAAGGAGAAAGCACTTTGCTCAGCGTGCACAAAACCATGCACCAGGTCACTAGTTAGTATTAATAAAGGAAGGAAGTAAAGGAAATAAGGTATAAGCCTCATCAACAGGGAGCTGAGTCAGACATTAAACCTCACTTACTAGGACAATGTAACGTTCCCAGCTCCCCAGGGGACTTAACCCCCTGAAGCAGGCTTCCCCACCCGCCAACAGACAGCCATTATCCAGGATTGAAGAGAGAAAACAGTAAAGGAGAAAGCACTTTGCTCAGCGCACGCCCAGCAGAAGCCAAGAGGGCACAGGAGGAGGAGCGTGTACTGTGAGGCATGCGCAGTAGGAACTAAGATGGTGGCCATGAGGGGTGGAGCCAAGCCTGGGAAAACGATCGGATTGGATAAGGGAACAGAACCCAGAAGATCTAGGAAAGAGATTGGTTATGGGGAGGGCCCAGCACAAGCCTGGGAAGGATTGGGCTATTGACTGGTTAGTTTAAAAGAGGACTGGCCCCTTCCCAAGCCCAGGTGATCTAATCAAGCTTAACCAAGGCCTCCTGCTCAGGAAGGTGCATTCATTTGCCTGTCCGTTTGCAAGCAACAGCCATGCAGGCCCAGCAGCATCAGGGCTCCAGGGACGGCCTCAACTGCAAGCCTGCGGGCGCCAGCACAGAGCCAGCTGCGATGCGACCGGCTGCGGTGCACCCGGGCAAGGAGACTTGGCCAGTTGAATGGGGACAGAGACTGAGTTGAGCTAAGCTTTGCATGGACAGAACCAATGCAGCTGAGTTTCTGGGCCCTGGCCTTGCTTCTGGGCTTGAGGCAGGCAAGGCTGGACGTCTTCCATGGTGGGCCCAGTGGAGAGGGGCACCAGGAACCTGGGGCAGTCTTATTCCTACCCCAGTGCTTCCTCTTACCCCTGTACCTCATCCTCCCAATGCTTGATCGCTGAACCGTTTTTCTCGAGACACCACAAGTACCCCATTTCCACCAGCAACATTGACACTAAGATCTTCAGGGAATGACCAAGCAAGTCGTGTAATGATATCCTATAACCATTTTTCTAGCTGAAGGAACTAAGCACCTGAGGAACCTGAAAGAAACTCTGCAGAGAAACGCAACCATGCTGAACAGAATTCGCCTCCATAAGCATCCCTGCTGTGCTGCCTCCATCAGCAACACACTCCTTGCACACTTGGAAGACATGAATACACCATATCACATGAACCCTTAGACACTATCAAATGTGAGAGGCTCCAAAATGACTGGCTAAGAAAAAAAAATAATGTCAAACCACAACATGCCATTCATTTCAGACTAGAGGCCCAGTGCACAAAATTCATGCATGGGGTGGGGGGTCTCTCAGACTGGCCTGCACCCTCTCCAATCCAGGACCCCTTAGGGGACATCCCTCTTGCAATCCAGGACTGCTGGCTCCTAACCACTCACCTGCCTGCCTGCCTGATCATCCCTAACCACCTCTGCCTGCCAGCCTGAGCGCCCCTAACCACCCTCCCCTGCCGGCCTGATTGCCCCTAACTGCCCTCCCCTTCTGGCCTGATCTCCCCTAACTGCTGCCCTGTGTCCGCACGTGGTATTTTGTGGAAGAGCCTCACTCAAGGGGCCAAAGAGCCGCATGTGGCTCACAAGCCGCAGTTTGCCAACCACTGGTATAGATAATAAAATGTGGGCTGTGGAACCAGTGGAATATGGTGTAAGAGAAAACAAAATGGGGCAAGGACATTAAGAGGAGACGTTTGCACATACCCACACCTCCTTTCTACATTGTAAGTAAATCAATGGCTTCGTGCACTATCCTCAAGCAGAGGTGATTTATGAAAGAATTAAAGAGCCAATGCCATCTATCACCCTGTTGGTGACCCTTCATGTAGCCAATCAAAGTTTGAAGCTTGTGAAGGTTTTACACAATGTGCACCACACAGACCTGGTAAAGCTGGAAGTGGGGAGCCCGTGAAACACCCATTGTGTGGGGGGGCCCTGAGCAGGGCAGGGGCCTGAGCCCCCTACAGACCTGTTTTGAGTCGGACGTCCGCAGGTTCAGGCTGGCGGTGGATATGGTGAGGGAGATGCTCATCCCCGCGAACTGGAGGTTGCTCTTGCCCAAGATGCTGGACAGCATTTTGCTCGGAGGCTGTGAAGTCAAGCAGCATTAGTTTCGATTTGAGTGACTGGAGGCCTCACTGCTGGGGCCTCTCTGTTGTTCCTATTTGCCACACCCCAAACCTCCATCTCCCACCCTCATTAGGCACATGAAGAAAATTGTGCTTCGAATAAGCTGGCGGGGGCGGGGGGGGGATGGATCTGACACTAACACAAAGATTCTAGAATGCGCAGTGTGGGGATTATGAACATCTATGCACACGCTGAGATGAGGGAAAGGCGGGGTCAGGGTCCCGGGCAGCTCATGTTGGGATGCGTCTGAGAGAGTGACTTGGAAGCCTCGGGAAAGGGCCACAGGCCAGGGCCTGCAGCTTTGCACTCAGAAACCAGCTTCATCCACCGGGAGCCATGTTAGTCAGGCCAGGCTAAGTCGGTCCACTTGGGGGTCATGAGCAATCCCATTGAGCTGTGAGAGCGCTCATTGCTGGAGGACTGGAGCATGAATGCTCTGGCCGTCACGTCCTCTGGTCCAGTCAGAACACACGGGTCTGGGGCACCGCGGAGTGACAGACTCCGTTCGGCTCTAACAGGTGTACCCATCAGACCATAATTGCCCTTGGCACAGGGACCGCGGCTGCATGCTTCAGCCAGGCACCTCTTCCTGGGTCCCTGCATGGGCACTACCAACACTTGTCCATTGCTAACCCCCCAACCTTCCTCTTCAGATTAGAGCTCACCCCCTTTGATATCCCAACCAGCCCTAGTTCCTAACCAGGCTGGCCCCACATGTGAATCCCCTGCCTGAGCTAATGAAAGGCAGAGCTGCCGGGCCCTGATTCAGTGCCTGGTGTGGAGCCTAGAAGTCGGTTTTGTTTCCATCACCTGCACCCAGAGAACCAGGAGGGACCCCAAGACTTGCTGCTCAGGCGCCAGCTGGCTCTGTTCTCAGACACCCTCCTAGTTCCCATATTCAAGATTCTGGGGGCATCTTGCTTCCCATGTCCCCTGTGGGATGACCAGAACACAGGCCAGCACATCTGAGCCTTCACCCAAAGTTCTATCTCTGACACTCAGCTGCCCTTTTGGTCACCAATGTCCCCAAGCTACAAAGACACAAACAACTCACAGCCCAGGTAGCAGCAGAGGCGAGCACCAGCCTGCCCTGCCCCCACCACCACCTCAGGACAGACTCAGAGATACACAGAGGGGCGCCCCCACATTCAGGCCAGGTGCAGACAGGTCCTGATGGCGGGTATTTACTTCTGTGTTTACTGGGCACTTAAGTTCAGAGTTTTTTTGAGCTTTCTCTTAATCCAGTTGTTTTTTTCTTCTGGTCCAAACACCTCAAGATGAAAAGGTCGAGTACAGGGGTTGAACACACAGCCCCTAGAGCCAAGTAGTCGGGCTGGAGCTTGGCTCCACCACCTGCTGGCCTCATGGGCTCTCCTGTCGGTGCCTCAGTTTTTATCTCTGTATAATGGGGACACGCAGCGGCGTCCTAGAGCCGCTCATGCTAGCTAATGAGAGACAATGATCAAATGTATGGGAATATCATGAGCTGGCCATTAAAAACAGCTGCTATTAAAAATTAATTATGTAAACTTGCAATTAAATACATTACATTTAAAAAACAATAAATACTCAAAACTCATCACTTCCTACTTTTTGCTGCATCAGCTGTTCCCCCTGCAGTTCAGGTTGTCTGCGTCCAGTGTGCCTGTGTGAACTGCGTGGAGACACTGTCTGCACCCCTCTTCCCAGCTCCCTTTTAGGGTGTCATGTTAGAGCTTGAAAATGGCGACAAAAACTGGCAAGGCCACAAACTTGGTGCTTCTCGGTCCCCCAGCCTGAGAGACGTTGTGAAACTTGCACCAGCCCAGCGCTGGGGGGTCTGCCACGAGAGCTGTGCCCATGGAGTGAATGGGTGACCCGAAGCTTGGGAGAAGGCGGGCTGTTCTACGCGGCTGTTGCCATCCCTGTCTGTACGTTGAGGCCACAGCGAGGAACCAGGGTGTGGCGTCTGGGTGGCAGCAACAGCTGATCTCGTCAACCACGTGGCAGAGAGGGGACTTAAGCTCTTTCCATTTTTAAAGTGACAAGAGCCACTGCAAGGTACCCCCTTTCAACAAGGGGTGCCTTTTGGTTCTCCCTGGGCAAAAACAAAACACCACAAAGAAACAGTGCCAGGCCCTGGGAAGAGAGGCCTGAGCCATGTGTGTAAGGGAGCTGCGGAGGGGACAGAGGAGGGAGAGGCAGGCAGACGCAGCGCTGAGAGGACAGTACCTTTCTCTTCCTGAAGGCTCCCTTGGCGCCCGGGACGGCTTCACACACGCGGCTGATGGCTTCCCTGCGAGGACAGGGAGAGAGCGTTCACATGGCGGCCAGGCCCGCCCAGCCCAGCCCTGCAGGTGCCCACAGAGGACAGCCCTGCCAGCTCAGGCTCCCGTGCTGTCGCGGGGCTTGCCTCCTAATGTGTGCGATGGACATGTCGATGGACTCATTGCTTTAGTTTCTGTTTGTTTTTATGTTTGGTTCAGATTCCATGTTAGAGACGTGGTTCCCTGAAATGGACTCTTCCGGAGGTTGTGCTCATGGGGATGGCCCAGGGCCCACTGCTACCAAGCGCTGCCACTGAGCAAGGGCCTCCGAATGAGTCAGAAGGGATTCAAGGACACGCGGTTCTCGGAGTGTCCCTCCCCGTGACAAGAGAGAGACCCGCAGATGTCCTGAATCAATCGCAGCAGCAGCGTAGGATGGGAGAGAGAGGTAAGAGGCTAATCAGTTAACAGCCTCGGGCCAACCCAGCTAAAGCTGCTCACATTCCTGAATGTACTGAAACTTTGGGTCAACCTTGGTGACTATTTCGGCTCTTATCTAGCGAGAACGGCGATGACCAGACTCCACCGCACCCGCCCACACCAATCCAGAGGACTCTGTGCCCCACTTCCTTTCTCCCACCCCCTTTATCTGTAGCCAAAGTAAGTTCTTTCCAAATAAGTGACATCTTCCTGTCCACACTCACTGTATCTGAGGCCCATGAATCCCAGGACACACACGCTCATCTTCCCGGCCACCCGCCACTGGTGGCTCAGGCTGCTTGCTCCAGGATCTGGTCCTTTTTCTGGCTAGAATACAGCTCAGCAAACCCTTTATTTCAGAAAAACTTTCATCCCCCAAGGTTTTTATTTAGCAACAGCTCTGTAGTTAGTAAATATCATATAATCTGAAGGGGTTTGAAGGAGAGGAACTCCAGGGGTATACAAATGAGCCAGAAATGAGGTTCCGTGCAGGTCAGTGCTATGGAGCAGACATTTATGAAGCAGCTCCTATGTGCCAGGCACTGTCCTGAAGGAGTCAGTGAGTGTCCTAGGTCCTGGGGGGAGGGGCCTGACAGGAGGACAGGCTGCAGGGGGTCTGACCCCAGGGCCGCATGGGGCAGAAGTAGAGGGGAAAGTGCACAAGTGAGCCCAGAAGGAGGCAGCTACAGTCCGCATGCTGGAGGCGGGGCCTCAGGCCAGGAGGATGTGGCTGGTAGCCACTTGAAAGCAAACAAAGCTCCATGTTGTGACTCAGCCTCAGAGATAATGATGGGAGATCTGCTGACGTCAGGAGCCAGAGAGAGGCCGGTGAGCCTCCCAGCTCCCACGTGAGGAAGGACACATTAGTCAGAGAACCCTGGACAAGGTACACGACGGGATCGGAGACGCGCTGAATGGTAGAGAAGACAGTGGGTCCTCAGAAACATCCACAAGCTTCTCAGCTGAGCACGTCTTGGAACTATTTTCTCTCATCTGGAAACAGAATTGCCATCACAATGCATTGCTTTTAAGAGAAACACAGCCTTGTCAAATTAGGTTAGAGACCACGAAGATAAGTTTCACATTTGCCATTGGATTTATTGTAGAGAGCGGAGAAAGAAGTGCTATTCTAAAAGGTCAGAGACCGTGGAAACTGTAGACAATGAATCACCATGACTCACAAAAAGTGCATTTAAAAGAAATAAATGACTTGGATGTTTATATGTAGTCATTTATTTTATAATAATATTCTTGCTGTGGTTCCATCAAAATGACCATCCTAAGTACTTTCTAAAAGCACATTCCTATTGAAGGCCAAGCAGTCTCTCTTAAACAGCTACACGGACCCCAGCATCTACATTGTACCTGTTTCATTTTCTTAAAACCTGGATGCGTCCCTGCACTGTACTTGGTACAGTAAGTGATATATGTAGCTAAACAAAGCAGCTGATTCTCTGCTGGCCCCAGCCGCTGGAAACGCATTTCATGGAGGAAAGTCTTCCATAGTCATTTCTTAAATTCCCCCAGTGGCATCGGATTTCCTTTTCCACCCACAGACATGGAGGTAAGAGGGGGAAGCCAGTTGGGTGACAGCTAACCTGTGCTGTAGGTCTACTCTAGAGAGGCCACGTAGAGCTTGCGCTGCTAATGTGTCTGGGAGAGGGAGGTGGAACAGTGAGCATTAAGAATAGGGTTGTGGGGAAGACACTGCAAACAATGAGCAACAAGTCCCCCACCAGGCAGGCAAGCACTTCAGGGCAGAGTTAGAGACTCAATCTTTTGTCTTTAAATGTGCAGCATGAGAAATTCCGGAAAGTTCTCAGAGCTCATGGACTCAGGAAAGTCCTAGGATCTCCTTGAGAGGCAGCCTTCAGAAGCCCCAAAGAGGTTTGCAAATCAAGCTGCTTTTCAGAAAAATGTCCTCCTTTTTCATTGGCATAAATTTGTTACTAATGTTCATATGATAGTATGTGTGTGTGATTCTCATTTTAATCAGGCTGATGGTAACTATTTCTATTTGAAATAGAAATGTAACATGACTATTCTAATTGCAATACTTAGCCCAGCTGGTGTGGCTCAGTGGTTGAGCATTGACCAGTGAATCAGGAGGTCACAATTTGATTCCCGGTCAGGGCACATGCTTCCTGAGGAAGGTCAATAGAGATAGGTTTCTCTCTCTTTCTCTCTCTCCCTTCCTCTCTGAAATCAATAAAAATATATTTTAAAAGTAATTGCAATAGTTACATGAATGAAATTAGTAACTTAACTCCAAGGTCTAATTTTAAATGTCACAATTCTCATCAACCCTCCTTACTGTTTAGTACTCTGCATTTTGGTGAGCATTCTATTTCAATTTGTTCATTTAGCAATAACTATTAAGCTTTGTGTCCTTCCATTTAATCCCAATGTGAGTCTCAGGTAGCAATTTTGCCCTGTTTTTAATAATAGAGATTGCTTCTTAGCATTCTGTTCAGTGCATCCCCATTTCGGTAAGCCAACCCATGAGCTCAGAGCAAGGTAATAGGAAAATGGAACATCTGGCACCTTCACGGTTATCTGAAAGTAATCCCAAATGCTGAGCCCACTTTCTCATAACATCCACATCTTCCTCTGTTCAGCTAAAATTCTCACCATTACAGCCAGTACCGTTCGCCTTTCATAACTTTTTCATTGGAATGTAGGATTTTTGAACTGGAACCTTTCAAGTCGTAGCATCTTTCTCCCTAATCATCCATCTCACTCCTACCAACCTGATCTACACACACATACACACACACACACACACACACACACACACACACACACACTTTACAGACGCAAGCTATTAAAAAAGAACAAAAGAACATTTGGGTGATTTCTGCACTCATGGGATTAGAGTGAGTAGGGGAGGGGCAACAAACAAACACATATAACAGCAAACTGCGATCAACTTTATGAACAAACAAAGAGGAGAGATACACGTAGTGAAGAGGATCGGAACAGTCACCCTCAAATAGGCCTCTTTGGCATAAAGATTATTTTAAGCTGAAGGCAACTGAGAAGAAGCAGACTCCAGAAAAGCCCTCTGTTCTCCTCTATTTGCCTAAAAGCAGGACATACATTTGTAAAGGCGGGCCCCTCCCCTCACTCCCAGGGAGAACAGAAGTTAATCACTGGAGACAACTCCAGCCCTGACCAGCCCTGAGACCAGCAGAGGGATCTGCCTGAGAAACCTACTAGCCCTCAGCTTCCATTAGTTCCTGCATGGCACGAGCTTACCCTCCCACAGCTGCTGCCCCGGGCTCCCAAACTCCCTTCCTCCGTCCTGTCTCTTCTGTACAAATTGACTGCTCTTTGGTTAAGATGGTTTCGAAGCCTAAATTCTAAACACTTTTGTAGCTGCTCATCACTGAATTTCCCTGCCTGCATGGGCACGGCATGCATTATGCATTAATCCATCGTTTGTCTTTCTCCTGCTCATCTGTCTTTTGTCTGATTTGCAGAGCCTAAGCCAGAAAACCTAGGAGGGCAAAGCAAAAATGTCTCCTCCCCCCCCCGCGCCCC